CTCTCTTTCCTTTATCTCTCTCTCTCCTCTTTCTCTCTCTCTCTCTTCTCTTTCTCTCTCTCTCTCCCTTCTCTCTCTCCCCTTCCTCTCGCTCTCTTCTCTCTCTCCCTCCTCTCTCTTTCCCTCCTTTCTCTCACTTCTTTTTCTCTCTCTCCTTTCTCTCCCTTCTCTCTATCTCTTCTCTCTCTCTCTCTCCCCCTTCTCTCTCGCTCTCTCTCTCTCTCTCCCTTCTCTCTCTCTCTTCTCTCTCTCTCTTAATAAAGTTGTGTCCCTGGGAGGAAGATGTGATGCAGCCTCTGGAGAGGACTCTTGAGCCTAATCTGGCTGATCATGTAGAGGAATAGGCTGCCGTTGGGACATAGAATGACATATGGGAAAGGGATGGAGACCATATATATATATACTGTGTAATGCTTTGTAATATTTTAAGAGAGATTGGAGGTCTGATGAGCTGTAATGTGGATAGGCCCGTGGATGGGTATAGGAAGGGGCTATATGGGGGGCTTCATGTTGGGTTTGGATGGCTCAGTAGGTGGGGTAGATTTCTATTTGCCCCTTTAATTATTATAGCTGCTTTGTCTGAGTCTGAGACTTCGGCTCGAGGGTCAGGGGTCACATGACATTTGCTACCCACCTTTCCATGCTTGTCTCCCTGGCTCCTAAATGTGCTCAGGTTACATGGCACTAGGTGTATACTTCGGGTGACCCCGTGACTCTCAAGCTGAAGTGTTTGGCCCAAAGAAAAGGTAAAGAAGAAATCTCACGCTGCTGAAAAATTAAAAAAGGTGCCGAGTCACCACGGCTCTACCGAGCCCCGCCCCTTTTTCGGGCGACTTGCGTCTGTCCACCAATTGCTGTGCAGATAGCTCAAGTCCACTGTGACACGAAGGCGGGCACTACACCACTACGCACACACAGGCACGTACGGCAACACATCACAGAGAGCTCTAGGCACCACAGTACACAACGCGCACACCATAGAAAAAAAAAAAGGTACAGATAGAAGAGAAAACCCAAAAAAAGACACAACTCACAAATGGGAGCGTGGACGCCACGCGTGGGAGGCCTGAATGTGAGAGGATCAGAGAGACGGGGGTGAGGGTTAGACAGTGTCACCACCTGTGTCATTGTTGTGTCACACTTATCAGTGCACGGACAGCGCAGCACAAAACACACACACATGGGCACACACCTGAGCACACACACACATAGTCCCTCCGCCGGGAAAAGAGCAGGCTCGGGGCGGCTTCAGATTCTGAGAGGATTATGGGATGACGGACAGATAAGCTTTTATATCAATTAGCAGAGAGAGAAGCCTCAGAGAGAGGGAGAGAGCGAGGGTGGGACCACCGCCCGTCTCTGACCATCAGGTCATGGTGCCAATGTTTAGCTGGCAATGCCAGTTTACTCTGGAACATGACGCCATCCTCCTCTCGTCCAACTCCTGTAACTACTATCCTTTACTTCCTACCCCCTTCCTACAAACCTCCTTGTGTTCTCTAGTCAATTCCTGTTCCTCCACCCTCCTCCTGTCTCCTCTACTAGATTCATGTTCCTACAACGCTCCTCCTGTCCTCTTTACCTAAATGCTGTCCCTACCACCCTCCTTCTGTCCTCTCTACCCAACTCCTGTCACTACCACCCTCCTCCTGTCCTCTACTTGATTCCTGTTCCTTCACCCCCCTCCTGTCCTCTCTACCCAACTCCTGTCCCTACCACCCTCCTCCTGTCCTCTCTACCCAACTCCTGTCCCTACCACCCTCCTCCTGTCCTCTACTTGATTCCTGTTCCTTCACCCTCCTCCTGTCCTCTCTACCCAACTACCGCCCCTACCACCCTCCTCCTGTCCTCTCTACCCAACTACCGCCCCTACCACCCTCCTTCTGTCTTCTCTACCAAATTCCAGTCACTACCACCCTCCTCCTGTCCTCAACCCAACTGCTGCCCCTACCACCATCCTCCTCTCCTCTCTACCCAACTCATGTGCCTACCACGCTCCTCCTGTCCTCTCTACCCTATACTTGTCCCTACCACCTTACTTCTGTTCTTTCTACCCAACTCATGTGCCTACCATTCTCCCCCTGTTCTCTCTACCCAACTCCCATCACTACCACACTCCTCCTGTCCTCTCTACCCAACTCATGTGCCAACCACACTCCTCCTGTCCTCTCTACCCACCTCTTGTCTCTGCCACTCTCCTCCTATCCTCTCTACTCAACTCATGTGTCTACTGCCATCCTTCTGTCCTCTCTACCCAACTACAGTCACTACCACGCTCCTCCTGTCCTCTCTACCCAACTCTTTTCTCCACCACCCTCCTCATGTCCTCTCTGCCCAACTCCTGTCCCTACCACCCTCCTTCTGTCCTCTCTACCCAACTCATGTGCCAACCATTCTCCTCCTGTCCTCTCTACCCAACTCATGTGCCTACCACACTACTCATGTCCTCTCTACCCAACTCCTGTCCCTACCACCCTCCTTCTGTCCTCTCTACCCAACTCATGTGCCAACCATTCTCCTCCTGTCCTCTCTACCCAACTCATGTGCCTACCACACTACTCATGTCCTCTCTTCCCAACTCATGTGCCAACCATTCTCCTCCTGTCCTTTCTACCCAACTCATGTGCCAACCACACTCCTCCTGTCCTCTCTACCCACCTCTCGTCTCTGCCACTCTCCTCCTGTCCTCTCTACTCATGTGCCTACTACCATCCTTCTGTCCTCTCTACCCAACTCTTGTCCTTACCACCCTCCTCCTCTCCTCTCTACCAAACTCCTGTCCCTACTACCCTCCTCATATCCCCTCTTCACAACTCCTGTCCTTACCACTCTCATCATGTCCTCTCTACCCAGCTTCTGTCCTTACCACTCTCGTCATGTCCTCTCTACCCAACTCTTGTCCTTACCACCCTTGTCCTCCACTCTATACCCAACTCCTGTCTTTACCACCCTACTCTTATCCTCTCTACCCAACTCCTGTCCTTACCACCCTTGTCCTCCACTCTCTACCCAGCTCCTGTCCGTACCTCCCTCCTCCTGTCCTCTCTGCCCAACTCATAGCCCTACCGTCCTCCTCTTATCTTTTCTACTCAACTTCTGTCCCCACAGCCTTCCTTCTATACTTTCTACTAGGCTACTGTCCCCACCCCTCTCATCCTGCCCTCATTCCTGTATTCTCTACTCAACTGTCCATGCCACCCTCGTCCTGTCCTTTCTACTAAACTCCTGTTTCCACTATCCTCCTCCCGTCCTTTCTGCCTAACTCCTTTCCCCACCACCCTCCACCTGCCTTTTTTACCCAGCTCCTATACCTACCATCCTCCTGCCTTCTCTACCAAAGTTCTGTCCCTGCCAACCTCATCTTGCCCTCTCTGGCCAACTCCTGTCCCTACCACCCTTCTCCTGCCTTCTCTGCTCAACTCCAGTTTCTGCCATCTGCCTCCTGTCTTATTTGCCCAACTCCTGTCCCAACCAAACTCCTCATGCCATTTCTGTTCAGCTTCAGTCCCTACTGTCCAACTTCCGTCCCCATCATTAATCTCCTGCTCCCGCCTACCTACTATTGACTATTCTTCCTACTGCCAGACTCCCCTTGGTTGCCATGCTGTCTCCTCTGCCCCTTCTACTCTTCTCCAACCTGTGCCATACGTCTTCTGTCCTTTTCTGCGTAGACTCCTGCATGACCATCCCAATTCTGCACTAGTTGCCCTTCTCCCCCCCCCCCCCCCCCCCCCCCTCCCTCCCTTGCTCCCTTCC